AGTTACATGGGCTCACAAGCTAAAATCTCGATGAAACTAACGACCTTACATCTTTCCGAAAATGGAAGCCCATATAGTTAGTCATCATATTTTATATGGTTTAATTGCAAGTTTGGTCACTCGAATTGCTACAAAATTTCACGTTTGGTCGCTAAAATTGGTTTATTCCATTAGTAGTCACTTAAATTAGTTGAAGAATCCAAGTTCGGTCACTCTCCGTTAACTTCCGTTAGACTCCGTTAATGACGACCGTTAAGTGATGACATGGCTAACATAAAATCACAGTCAGCATATTTTAACCCTAAAAAATGACTACCCAACGCGCCACGTCAGATTTGCCCGCCATGTCACCCTTCCTTACCCAACCCGCAAACCAACCCAATAGTCGACCCAACCCCAAACCCTACCCCCGTGAATCTGAAAAGTAAAATCGACAACCCCTGCTGCTCGCTCATCTTCCTCTCTGCGGCGGCCCAAACAGATCCCAACCCGCAACTTCCATTCAGGGGGTTGTTCATCTCGTTCCGCGTTTACTTTTCAGATGAGCGAGCGTCCATTAGTGATTTGTCCATCATCACCGGAATGTTTGGAGGAGCCACAGGTCTGTCCTTGCCGAAGTATATCCGCTTAGACAGCTTCAGCCCGTCCTCAATTGATCTCGCGAAATCCGCCGCCATCATCGTCGGTAAAAACTTAGCCGGAAAATCGCCCTAGTCGGACGGGAATGGAGAAAAAAAAAGAATTAGAGTGCGGGCAAAGCGAAATCCAGAAAACAAGGGAATCCAAAACCAGGGCTAGCAAGCCAAGAATCTAAATATAGACCCAGAAAAGGAAAACTCTGTGCAAAGCGAAGTCCAGACAAATCACAACAACACGCCCAAATTATACACCATCCGGAATTACCAAACAATTCCAATTTCACAAGGAAGGAGATGAACAATACACACATCCCAAAAGCGGCCGCAGCAGAGAAGGAAGATGAGAGAGCAGGGCGTTGTCGATTTTACTTTTAAGATTCAGGGGGTCGGGTTTGGGGTTGGGTTGGTTTGCGGGTTGGGTAGGGAAGGGTGACATGTCGGGCAAATCTGACGTGGTGGGTCGGGTAGTCATTTTTTAGGGTTAATATATGCTGACTGTGATTTTCTGTTAGCCACGTCATCACTTAACGGTCGTCATTAACGGAGTCTAATGGAGGTTAACGGAGAGTGACCGAACTTGGACTGTTCAACTAATTTAAGTGACTACTAATGGAATAAACAAATTTTAGTGACCAAACGTGAAATTTTGTAGCAATTCGAGTGACCAAACTTGCAATGAAGCCCTCATTTGTCATCGTGTCCTATTTACTCTCATAGGTAATCATCTTATCTTATCTTACTATGTATTATGGTTGTTCAAAAACAATTTCTTGTCACATAAGCACTTGGAGAATTCACAAGTTGCCAAGAAGGACAATTTTTGTACAAGCAAAAAAATTAGTTAATGAGCTATTTATGGAGTTATCTCTCTTCTTTTAATGATGTTTTCTTTTATTCAATAACTCTTTTCAATTTTCATATTATATCTATGTATGTAGAAAAGACTAATGTTGGTAGAGTGATATATCACATTTAGTTAAACAAAAAATATAAGTAAATTTTCTACTATTTTTTACTGAAAATTTTAAACAAACACACACATAAACAATAATATTTTCATCGATTAAACAAAATATAACGATGGAAATAGAGAAAATAAATGTTAGAAAATCAATCTACTTTCAAAAATGAACTATGTTATTTTATATTTTTGGCTATTAAACACTCTTATTTAGAGATAGCAACCAAACCCATGGTCGCAGGTACCCAACCGTCTCCGACCTAGTCAATACTGGGAATCTCCGCATTGATTGCGTATGGGGAAAACCCGCAAATTTTTTTATGGAGATGGGCGGATATGCTTTTGAAATCCCCATACCCAAACCCGCCCCACCGAGGATATTATGTTATATGCAGAAAATATAACATCCTGTTATGTAGGGGTGAACAAACACATCCGCAAACCGATCCACCCGTCCAACCCGAGCCAACCCACCCGTATTTATCGTTAAAACAAAGGTTTTGGGTTGGGTGAGGATTTTCTTTTGTACAACCCGTCTCTTTTGGGTTAGATTTGGATTTTGGATTACACAACCCATAGAACCCGACCGAACCCGTGTTCCAATTATTGGTATGAGTTCGTATCCAAAAAATATTTATGTCGTATATAGCCATACTTATGAGAAAATTAAGATATTTCGCCATGTTTTTCTTTTATGGTCTCCCTAATCTAATGCATTCTTCGGCTTAAAGTTTAGACATAAATTTAATATAGCTATGATTCACGTAGTTTTTTTCTTATGTACAATTTTAATAGAATAACATATTATGGATGCGTTCATTTGTAATCTTTTTAGCCTATTTCAACAAATGTCGTGAAAAAAACTAGACATAAGTTGAAGTCAATCAAATTCAAACAACATTTGTGAATTTTTTATACATTTCACCTCGGTTTATTCGTTTGAATTTTTAATTAGTTATAAAATATTTTTATGATGTAGAATAATTACATATTTTGTGTTGGGTTGGGTTTTTACTTAAAGATATCGCCAACCCGACCCAACCCAATTAGAAACAAACCATAGGGTTTAAATTTTTTTGATTGGGTTTGGGTTTAATATTTTCTAAACCGTAGTGCATGGGTCGGGTGATTAAAATGCCTAAACCCGGACCACCCTACCCATGTACACCTCTACTCTTATGTAATTGATTGCAACCAAACCGTAATTTCATCCACTTATGTATCAGTTCCATAATTTTGGGCAGGTAGTACCCATATTTTTTACATATTTTTTATGGTGAGTAGCTGATGGGGCGGGTATTACCCAATGGTCATGGGTATCCGAAAACGGCGGGTATGGAGATGAGTTTGTAGAACCATCCACCGTATGGGTATGGGGCGGGTATGAGTTTAGGTATTTGAAAATGGGGATGGTGATGGTTTAGGCAAACCCGCCCCATTGCCATACCTTCTCTTATTTCTAATTAATATATCTATAAAATAAAATAAGTATTATATAGTAAAAGTTCTGGATAGAAACTTGATGATGTACACGTATTATATGGCACGTGAGTGTTAGAGAAATCTTTGTTGATGATGTACGATAAACATTATGTTTCATCAACCACTGACCTAGCATTAATCAAACATGGGTTGACAATTTTCGTTTAATAGTTGAATGTCTTCTACATTTAAGGCCTTTATAGTTAGAAGACTCTAAATCGAACTATTAGGTTAAAAATGAAGAATCTTTATAAGCATGAGATCAACAAGGCAATTCTAATAAGTCATTTGGTTGCATGGTTGTGAGTATGTGACTCCATACCAAATTTTGGCAATAAAAAAATATTTTACCATATCAAAATGTCAAAACAAAAATGTTAGTTTGTAACCGTAAGCAATATGTATATAGTCGAGTTATCCTATCCACAAAATTTTGTTGTGTATTCCATTGAACGAGGTGTGTTAAAAGGTCTTAATTAGGGTTACAAAACAAAGTAAACTCTTTATATACGTTTAGATATTAACAATAGATGTGTTTATAATACATACAAGAATTCATCCGTGTGAAATGTCACAATGGATGAATTCGCTTTGCCCGCACTCTAATTTTTTTTTTCCCATTCTCGTCCCACTAGGGCGATTTTCCGGCTAAGTTTTTACCGACGATGATGGCGGAGGATTTCGCGAGATCAATTGAGGACGGGCTGAAGCTGTCTAAGCGGATATACTTCGGCAAGGACAGAGTCGTTGCTCCTCCAAACATTCCGGTGATGATGGACAAATCACTAATGGACGCTCGCTCATCTGAAAAGTAAACGCGGAACGAGATGAACAACCCCCTGAATAGAAGTTGTGGGTTGGGATCTGTTTGGGCCGCCGCAGAGAGGAAGATGAGCGAGCAGCAGGGGTTGTCGATTTTACTTTTCAGATTCACGGGGGTCGGGTTTGGGGTTGGGTCGACTATTGGGTTGGTTTGCGGGTTGGGTAAGGAAGGGTGACATGGCGGGCAAATCTGACGTGGCGGGTTGGGTAGTCATTTTTTAGGGTTAAAATATGCTGACTGTGATTTTATGTTAGCCACGTCATCACTTAACGGTCGTCATTAACGGAGTCTAACGGAAGTTAACGGAGAGTGACCGAACTTGGATTCTTCAACTAATTTAAGTGACTACTAATGGAATAAACCAATTTTAGTGACCAAACGTGAAATTTTGTAGCAATTCGAGTGACCAAACTTGCAATTAAGCCTATTTTATATCGAGAATGGGCTAGCGTGAGCCCAAATATCTACCACCGAAAATGCAAATGCAACTCCATCTGTAGACTGCAATAAGGCGGTAGCGGGCACCAGTTCCTAACTCCGTCCATTTTACTGTTGCACCGACTCCCAAACACACCCATTTGCATATGCATGGTAAAGACTAAAAACATACGCTCCGCGTCACATGCCAATTAGCTCTTTTCTTTCTAGGGGTGGCAAATTAAATTAGCCAATCCTTGGGCAAAAGTAACATTGTACTTCTTCTTTCCACGTTGTTCCTTAGCTTCATCCATCCACTATTCTCACTTTACGCAAACTCCGAACTCCCCCAATGGAATGGAGGGGAGGCTTCTTTCTTTGAAAGCCCAGCCCAGGCCAGGCCAGGTGCATCTAACGCGGGATTGTCCTGCCCTTGCCCACTATAGTATAAATATTTGCCGACAAGAATGGCATCACCAAGATCTTCCCTAAACACAATCCCAAAACACAGAAGAGAGGCCAACAAAAAATGGGTTTTCAACTCAGAAACCACAACCGAGATGTTACTGCTCGTTCCTCATCCCCTCACTAGAAGCCCATTGTAAGCCATTGGAATATACATAGATATCATCCATTCTTTTTCGAATTTCATTTTCACTTTGTGATCGTGAAGTTGGAAATGCAGGATGGCGGCTCCTCCTTGGTGTTTCCGGACCCAAATCTTCGCGGCGCGTACAGAGTGCCCGCCAGAGCTCTCAACATAGTCTGGGGGAAGGACCCACGTTACTGGCAATGGATCCCGCTCTTAGACCACCACGACAAGAGGTGATTCATGAGATCGAGTTATTGCTCCATCTGCTCCACGAAATCAAACTAGCTAATTTTCCACGTTTCTAAAAAAAGCTGCTACCTTTTTGGTTTTTGGGTTGGCAGGGAAAGTGGGTTCGAGGACGAAGCAGCAATGCTGGTTCAGGTGAACTGGATCCAGGTGACGGGGAGGCTGCCGACGAGCTTGTTCGCCAGGAAGAAGTACGAGGTGGTGTGGGTGGTGAAGTTCAGGGTGGACGCATTCGAGTGGCCGGTGAAGTTCAAGGTCAGGGAGGAGAAGGTGAGGAGCGTGGTGGTGGAGCCTTACCGGCAGAAGCATGGGGTGTGGCATGAAATCTCCGGCGGGGAGTTCACGGTGCAGGCGGCTGGTGGGGTGGTGGAGTTTGGGATGTATGAGATTGAAACCGAGTGGTGGAAGGGTTGCATGGTTCTTGCCGGCGTCAAGATTCGGCCTAAACCTTAAAAAGACCCGTGTGTCTTTCTATTGTTCATAGCTCATGGCATGATGAGTTCGGTTGTGGATTTTGTAATGTAATACTTCATCTCAAGATCTTAATTGTCCTTACTGTATCATCCTATAACACTTTTCCAATGTTTGAGGACACACATTATAATCTTTCTTTCGTTATATTTAGCTCTTCCATTCTTTTCCTATGAAGTTAGAGAAACTTTCCCAAGAACAATTTTTCAAACTAATCAACGGGATTAGTTCTTACTTCATACAAAACATTTTACGATTAAATGTAAAGAGTTTCAAGTAAATCAAATAATATGGGTTAATTACAAGTTTGGTCACTGTGTTTACTAAAAAGGTTCATGTCTGGTCACTAAAAATATTTAATTTCATTCATGATCACTAAAATTAGTGTAACCATCCAAGTTTAGTCACTGACCGTCCAAGTTCGTTAACTTTATCTGATGTGGCGGTCAATTTTCATAGTTAGATCGTTAAGTGTCTGACACGATAATTTAAAAATAATTGAATTAATATTTATAATTTTCCACCTCATACTATTAAAAAAACCCTAATATCTTCAAAATCCCTAATTCAATTTTCTAATTCAATTCCTCACTACCACCTCGTCGCAAACCATGGCAGCCCTATTCTTGTCTCATAGCTAAAATCCGTGAGGGTTATTGGAGGCGGTGAGGTGTACGAGCTCGGCGGCGGCTTTGGCGTTCGCAACAGCCACCTCGGCAGCGGTGGCCATACCAGTAGGCAGTAGCGGTGCCCTAGGCATGAAGCGGCGGCGAGAATGATTTGGAGGTTTGTTGGTGCGAAGAGGAAGAAGGCGAGAGGTTTGCGGCGGGATCCCATCAGCTGAACAGATAGACCCAATTCGTCACCACCATCGTCAATGTTCCTACCAAAAAACCTAGCAGAAATCATCCGCCGCCAGTCGCTGTCTTTCTCGGCATCCTCCTTGAAGATTCGTCGGCAGCCGGCAACAGGAGATACTTTCCCATTTCGCAACCTAGCCCTTAGCCAGTAGCCACCCACAATTTCCAGATCCAAAACCCACGAAACACACATAGATCCCCCTCATCTCTCGTCAACGTCACGTTTCCGCCAGTCGTATTCACTTTTCACTACCAGAGAGCTCCATTCCAGAATAGCAACAAGAGGAAGTGATTCTTTTTCATCGCTCTGAATCGTTAGCTGGGAAAATGAGGGCGTCGCTGTTACTATTTGGTGATTGGTATTAGGAAAGACCCATTGGAAGTTGGGGGCTTGAGGTTGTTGGGGATCCACTTGTGGACTTGTATTGCAGGGGATGAATCATTTACTCATGGATGTGTCATCTCTCCATTTGATTTCGAAGCAGGGTTTGAGTGTCGTTGCCGCTGCCGCTGCCGTGAGGTTTTAATTTGATCAAAGAAGGGCTCCAACTCATCTCACCTGCCTCCCTGGTTTTGATATTTTTTTTAAGCGTCTGATAGTGATGTGGAAATTTTAGGAGATAAAATATTATTTGTTTATTATTTTTTAATTATACGTCATATATTTAACGGTCAACTATAAGAGTTGACCGCCACATCAGATAAATTTAACGGATTTGGACGGTCAGTGACCAAACTTGAATGGTTAAAGTAATTTTAGTGACCATGAATGAAATTAAATATTTTTAGTGACCAAACTTGAACCTTTTTAGTAAATATAGTGAACAAACTTGCAATTAACCCCAAATAATATTATACAATGTGTATAAAAAAGTATAATTTTCCTAATTATGCGTGATGTAGAATACAAAGATCGGAATAATCCATGTCTATTAGCGTAGAAAATCATGCACTACCAGCATATGAGCACCCAACGATTGTGATATTGGGTCTCATGTAATTGAAGTTATTGTTGAATGCTTTATGTCAACATATATATTGAGAGATTATATGATATATGTAATACATTATATTTGTACCAAAATGAAACAACAAAAACAAAATAATACCATAAAACTGCACAATACATCTCCAGTCCAGGTTCCAAGTCTAATAGTTAGTTGCCATCAATCAACCAGAAATGGGAAGTCGGCAAATTGAGCATATATTCTCCATTCAAATTATGGTGGTAGAGAATCTTAACTTTCACGCCCATGTGCATATATTCTCCACTCGATCTGTCACCACCTTATCGTCGAATCTTTCTTCCACATCTCTGGTTCCATGCTTGCAACTTTCTGTCTTCAGATAAAAGATTGATGCTTTCCCTCGTTTAATTGATGGTTGTCATTGCCCGTCCAAATTGACATTCCAATTCAATGTCGACCCCCCTGTTTTCTCAAACAGTAGTATAAGAGAAAGGCAAAGCACTCTAACCCACACCAAACAGAGAATGGGAACAGGGTGGTCGCAGGATGACGAGGCGGCCGCAGCAGCTTCACAGCTGCAGCAGCCAACCCACCAATCCACCGCGGACAGAGGTCAGCTGCCGCGGCAGCACTCTGTTCAGAAACAGAGTGAAGAGAAACAGAGTCAAGGAAGGCAGAGTGAGAATAAATCCAACACAGCTGAAAAAGTTGGAGATGGCAAGTTCCAGGAGGCCAGGAACAGGACACCAGCGGCAACGCAAGCAACACAACCCATCACGGGCGGGGGTCAGCTGCAGCGACAGTACTCTCAGAAACAGAGTCAAGGAAATCAGAGTGAAGCAAAACAGAGCAAGAACATATCCAACATGGTTGAAAGATCTGGAGATGGCAAGTTGGGGGAGGCCAAGAATAGGGCATCTGCAGCAACACAAGTGAAGCTTCCACATAACTGGGAAGCTATATTGCGAGAAGCAGATACCCCAATTGAGCGTTCTTCCCCTGATAGGCAGTGCAATCAACTCTTCTCTGGAGTTTTCCTGAACAAAAAGAGCAAGGCAAGCTGATAATTTCTCATTTTAACAATTTTCCTCACTATCAGCAGTTGTTTTTTCTTCTCTTTTTGGCCGACTGATGTTGAGCACCAACTGCAGAAGTACTGGGTTGACAGGAACTCCAACAGCAACTGTTTCACTCTGTTTGCTAGAGATCTCCTGATCACCTGGGCTGACGACCCACGTTACTGGCATTGGCCTTCTATAACTGAGACCAGGTAAAATAGCAGGAATTTACTTTGATCCATCACAGTTCCGGTTTACCATATTGATTGAAGGATGCTTTTATTTTCATTTTCTATGTTGGTAGAGATGTTACGGTGGAAGCCGCAGAGCTTTTAGCAGTTTGCTGGCTGGAGGTTCATGGGAACTTTGACACAACAAAGCTTTCTCCTGGGACTTTGTATGAAGTTATATTTGTGATAATGCTGAAAGATTCGGCAGCAGGATGGGAAGTTCCAGTGAATTTCAGACTCACTCTACCAAATAGAGTCAAGCAAGAGCACAAAGAGAACCTAATGACGAAACCAAGATTGCAATGGATTGAAATCCCCGTTGGTGAGTTCAGAACTTCACCTGAAAATATTGGTGGGAATATGGAGATCTCTATGTTTGAATATGAAGGAGGAACCTGGAAGAAGGGGCTGATTCTCAAAGAAGTCACCATCCGACCAAAGTCCTCAACTACATAGCGATAGGGAGATGAGAGTTTCCAAAATAATGATACGTGGTTTCGGGTCGAAATTCAGGACAAGATACAACACTCTGGAAAGAGGCTTATTTGCTGGCCAACAAACTTATTATTGAAACTATAAACAATCATCAAACTTGTATTGCAAAACGAAATAAACACGGAAAGCTCAGGTCTAAAGGTACAACAAAGGGCAGCGCCTGTTTTGCTGCTTCTATGCTTGGTTTGAATGGAGCAATTCAAAAATCTGTATGGTAATTTTCTGGCTTGAACCATGGCGAGAAATCAAAGCCTTTGCTTATGAGCTTTTCGGTCGGAGGTGCAATCCTCTCCAAAAGCTGCATTACGAAGAATAATAAGATCTTCCAGTTCAAACAAATATGGCTATAATTATAGACAAATGCTAGAGTGTGAACCTTTGAATGGAGTACCCCGTTGGATACCAAAACTGATCTATCAAAAACACAGAACTTGTTGCCATCCATGCATGTTACTGTTCCACCAGCCTCTTCAACCATCTGCTTGAAACAAAAGGAGATATCAAGCCAATGACTAACGACTAAATGACATGGTAATTCTGCTGGCCAGATATTGGCAAGCTCATCTGAAACCAAACCCAGTGGATTGACATTTGAAGGTCTTGACAAAAACTTTACCAGAACACCAGCAGCCATGTCCCATGGCTTTAGTCGATATTCCCAGTAAGCTTCCACAATACCTAGAGCTACATGGCACATATCAACTGCAGCAGCGCCAAGCCTTCTTACACCCTATTAACAAGACAAACAAAAAAAGAAGCAACAATCAATTGGAGAAACCCAAACACTTACGGAAAAGAAAAAGAAAAAACAATCGAGATGCAGCAGGTAAGATAAAAAGCAATTACGGATATTACCCTGCTAACATCTGTAAACTCCTTGAATAATTCAATGTTAGTAGACCATGCATCGTCGTGCTCATACCCAAACCCAGTCACCAGAAGAGATCGTTCCACCTGAAACAATGGGAAGGAGGTCAAACAATTTGAATGTGAAGGTCTTAACATACTGAATTTTCCCTACTTAATACATTTGGTGTGTCTACATTTTCATTCGGCCTACGTTACCATCCTTTGACAAGAGTTCCAGGAACAAAAAGAGCTATAAAGCACGAAGACATGTATTGTTTTCAAGTAGAAGATAAAATCCTTAGTGCGAAACTTATTGAGCATCTATCACTCCGGAAACCATATAACATTCGCCACATAATGTATTCCTAAGGCACAATCTCCTGTAGAAGATAAAATCCTTAGTGTGCAACTTATTGAGCTCATGCCACTCACCGTGTCAGTTTGACTGGCATGAATTCTCTGACCATTACAAAAAGCTCCTCCACCTGAAGAGGTTAGAACAATTTCAGCCTACACAAGGCACCTATGGAAAAGAAATAATCAGGCCAATAAAATTTCTCACCTGCAGTTGCAGAGAAAGTACGAGTATTCCATGCCATAGGACCTCCAACAAACTCCACCTATAAGGAGAAACAAGAATGCCATTATGATTTCTTTATCTTGTACTCATACACTATGCCTTGTTTTCCCTCTTTTTGTCCCATGAGTTTTTCTGGTACGCAATTGAACCAAGTACCATGTTGTTCTTCATCATAATCAAATAAGCCTTCTGAAGCTATTTCAGAGTTATAAACAATATTGTTAGAAACAACATCAATAAAGTTCTTATTGGAAGAATCTGTCGAGCATCACAGTTTAGACATTATTTCCCGGCTAGTATCTTATTCAGTACAAATGTCAACTCAATCTAATATGTAAAGGTCAGTACCACAGCAGCAGCAGCTGGCCTTCCTCGAAAGAGAACTCCTACGGATACAGCAAAGCTAGGATAACCATGCGCAAAATTTGTTGTTCCATCTGCAGAAATGGAAAGGTGCATTGAGTTATAAGGCACGACCAACGCACTTTATTGATTTAATACACGTCGATAGGAACGAGCAAAATGGATGGATAGTACCAAATATTAGGCAGCAGAATATGAAAGGGAGATTGAAGATTGAATGTCAGCTACAAATTGATGCAATTTTGAAAGCCTTTAAACCTCCAACAAGATAAAAAGACGATCTTCATTTATTTCATCAGCAATATAAAATGAAAGATCAGATTTAAATTATTTGGTTGTTGTTCTAGAGTATGCAGCAATCCAGAATACTTTCACGGCCTGGAATTTCCTTGACAGAGAGAGGGATTATTGAAAACACTAGCATGGCAACACACGGCTGAGCGACTGGGAGAGAGAGGGCAGTCATAATCATGAAGTTGAAGGCAAGCAAAATATTGCCTAGTTTCGAGTAACTTCAATATTTAACGATTAACCAACCGATTATTACATGACATGGTCAAATGCATCAAATGATTAACCAACATTAACTTATCGGATTAGTATACAACGTATGTTCACAAATACTCACCTAGAGGATCAATGCACCAGAGGTAATCGGAATGGCTATCACCAATGACTCCTCCTTCTTCCCCAAGAATAAGGTGATCTCCGAAATTCTTGTTAACGACTTCCAATATTGCAGCCTCGCTCATTTTGTCTGTGCTGCGTAAGTAAATTTGCACATATGAAGTAAACCCGGTACAGTTACATTTCCGGGGTTCCTGAGATTCTAGAATCCCCAGTGAAAGGGATTAAGCACTTAGCAGTATTACAAACAAGTAAAATATGCCAATTGCCTCACGCAAAAGCAAGGTATTCATTCAAGAATTGAACATTTTGTAACATAAATAAGCCGTTAGTGGGGTCCTTACTCGGTGACTAGGTCAGTAAGCCCTTTATAAGTGATATTCCGGGGCTTATTAACTGCTTCCATCACCACCTGGACACAGAAATGTAATTGAGCATGATGAATCCACAAATGGAGAAGGACAAGCAAACTTCATAACATCTCAATCAAACAAAACAATCAATCACACAAATCACAATAGGAAGGTTCAAAGGCGAACTCAATAGAGTGAGGGAAAAGGGTTGACCTCGGCTCCAGTCTTGGCGGCAGTCTCAACGACTTGAATGAGCTGGTTCAGCGGAATGGGTCCGGTAGATGAAGCTCCAATTTTCGGGTACCGGCTCTGGTAAGGAAGCTCCGATAGCACTGCCTTCGTTGTGGACAGATTCCGGGCCGGCTTGGCGTGAATGGAGGGAAGTCTCGGGAACCCATTGTGAGAATTGCCCTTGAATGAGAAAGGAACGCATTGGTACGAGCGATTGAAGGAGGGTAATGAGCACCTGGGCAAGTGACAAGAAGATTTGAGAGAGATGTTTGCAGAGAAGAGAAGCGACCTTCCCATTGCGAATCCTGGACTCGAACGCCTAAAGGACGCAATCAGTTCGTGGATAAAATCGGAAAGGGAATGATGGATTTTGTGGCAGTGGCTCCCGGGGAGAGGAAGGAGACTTGTGATTTGTTTCTGTTAGCTGCCACAACAGAAAACAAAATTAAAATGAAAACGAAACTGTCATTTCCTGGAAAACAAAACTTGAAAAAACCTTGTTTAGCTGAGAACTTTGGTGAATTCTGAAACTGAGTTCTGAAAATGAAAACCTGTTTAGTTGCTTCGATCGATGGAGGAGATGCGGCGGCCGAGCTTTGCGAGCTTCTCGTGGGATGCGGCGGCCGTTTGTTTCCAAGCAGCCGCAGGAACTCGATCGGGATTCGCCGAGTGGAGAGAAGGCCGATCGATGGAGGTCGCTGGAGGAGATGCGGCGGCCGAGCTTCTCCCGCTGCGCGGCCGTTTGTATGGAGTGGAGGAAGGAGTTTGATGGAGGTAGCCAGTAGGGTTATCAATGCCAAAACGGCATCCCTTGGCTCCGTGTAGAACCAAACAGAAATAGACCCGGCCCGAGTCAATTCACTGAATTAACCAAACTGCCCCTCAGCTTTTCCTTCACCTTCTTCTCCCGGACGGCGCTCCTCTGTCATAAATCATAACCACCCCATTTTCCCAAATGGAAAAACCCTAGTTAACCCCTTCTCCTCCACTCTCCCCCGCCCCAAGAAACCTCTACAGAATTCGGTCAAAACCATCATGGCTTCCTCTGCGCTCCGATCTCGCATTGTCTCCATCACTTCGCGATACAAAGCTGCTCCTGTTCCCCGCCGATCTTTCAGCGCCGACGCCGCCCCTTCCAATCTCAACAAAGAATCCATCATTCACGATCACGTCCCGGCTGCTGCTGCGGCGGCGGTTGGGTCGGCGGAGCCCGTCGCCGAGGCGGCAGCCGCAGCTGAGAAAGGTCCACAAAGCTTAGGATGGAAGTTGTTCAAGTACGGTCTGATTGGGACTCTCACCGGTGCTACAGCGTACACTGGCTACGTGACTTACGGTTAGCTCCTCTTTCTTTATTGGAATTTGTTCTGTTGTGGTTTGAACCGATTGACTCATTGTTTCCCCTGGCGCGCTCTCTCTCGGCAGCATATCCATTGGAGGAAGTGGAGGCGCGGGTGAAGGCACTGCGGGAATCAGCCAACTCAACTCGTAGCGATGAGGCCTCTGGCCAGGAGGTTAGTCGAATTTGAGAATGTTAGCTTTTAGAGAAGGCATAATTACTTAATTAGGATTTGCATTGAGCTATAGACCTGGCTCTTGATCTTCACTGATATCGAAACAGCTGCTGCGAGAGTGATGATTTTGTAATGCTCGGAATTGTAACTTTCGGTTCATGATTTCTGCAGAAATCTACAAATGCCCTCTACTCTGCTGCAATGACTGGTAAGTTCCCTCCACCAATTCTTTTGCGCGTAGATTTCTTGAGACATTGATCATGTGTTGGTTATTCAATTTAGTTGTCGTTACTTTGAACTCCTATGCTGTACATCATCGTCTTTATAAAGATGTTGAGTGAGTAGGCGATGGTGAATCAGTTGTAAACATTGCTATGGAACTTGGTCTTGATGCTTGAACCTTGCGATCCAACATCTCTCATATAGTAAAAGTATCAGACGCGATTCAGTTTGTTTACTTATTAGGGATGTGTGGATCTCAATTGGAGAAGGGTCGGAATTCTAGTTTGGTTGTCTGCAGTTTGCCCGTCTTAGTTAAACACTTGGCTACTGGACCAGTAGGTGAACGGAATAAAATCTAAGCCGTGGAATATACACTGACACTAGTATGTTCAGATTTCAGAAGTCGTCTGCTTTTGCTACAATGTGCTGTGATGGTGACCAATGATGCATTTTATGTCTGTGATATTTCAGTTCCCATTAAAGCAGCTGAACTTTACTTGGATCTCCGTACAACATTGGAGGAGCATGTTAAAGTGAGCCAACAATCTCTCAAGACTTGTCAAATTTCTTCTACAATTGTATATAGAGTTTCTTTGTAGATATGATGTATCTGTTACTTATGTATTTTCTTGATGCAGGGCTTTACTGAGCCAACGTCCGATAAGCTTCTACCTGATTTGCACCCAGCTGAACAACATGTTTTCACTCTTGTTTTAGATCTCAACGAGACTATAATCTACAGTGATTGGACCGTAAGTAGTACAGCTGCTGTACCCCTATCTCAAGCAATGTGGAAGTGGTTGTTATTTTCCCTTTATGTTCCACTCACCATATGTATTGAGATTACATTCCCAGTGATCTAGCTCTTGTTCGTTGTTGTTCGGTGCCTGTGTTTGACAAATGACTGAATTTGTTATGTTCTTGGGTAATAAAGCGTGAAAGAGGTTGGAGGACATTCAAAAGACCTGGAGTTGATGACTTCTTGCAACATCTTGCAAAGTTTTATGAAATAGTCATATACTCTGATCAGCTCAGCATGGTAATAACAACTGTTTTCCTACCCATACTTAACACAATAATTAACTTCTCATCTATGAATTCACAGTTTGGTCTCTCTGGTGCAGTATGTTGATCCTGTGGTTGAAAGGTTGGATACAAACCATTGTATAAGATACAGGCTATCAAGAGGTGCAACCAAATATCAGGATGGGAAACATTACCGGGTAATATTTTGTTTACTTCTAGTGTGAGTGGCTTTTTGAATTTCATTCCCACCTGTCTTCCCAGTTCCGTTGGAATTTTAACTACAGTTGTTTCTCAACAGGACTTTTCCAAACTCAATAGAGACCCTCGTAAGATAATATATGTGAGTGGCCATGCATTTGAAAGCAGCCTTCAGCCAGAGAACTCTGTGCCAATTAAGCCATTCAAGATGTCCGAGACAGGCGAACAAGAGCCACTGGATACAGCACTTTTGGATCTCATCCCTTTCCTTGAATGTGAGTATTTTTCATATATCTGTGTCTACTGTTGTCATTACAAATCTAAATTGCAGTATTTTCTTCACCATCTCAGTTCTGCAAACCGGATAACATGTTTATTGAGATGAAACCTCTGGTGGTTCTTTGCAGATGTGGCTCGCAACAGTCCGCCTGATATTAGAGCTGTTCTGTCAACCTATGAAAGGAAGGACATAGCCAAAGAGTTCCTCGAGCGCTCCAAAGATTATCAAAGGTGAAAAATCCAGCTGACTTTTGCTTTTAGTTTGATGAAATCTTTGGGTAGGTGTTATGTGGACTCTGAAACGAAATTAGTGTGAATGATATCTTACTAACCGACAAAGAACGTGATGCTTGCAGGCGAGTGCAGCAACAGAAGCGGGGTTTCTGGCGATGATAATCTGTAAAGTAGACGGGAGGGAATGAAATAGAAGTCAAAACATGACCTGGTTCACCTTAGACTTTGAGAGCTGGATGAAGTCCCTTTTTCTCTGCATTGTGCAATCATTTGATCTGGAGGGGAGTGCCCATTTTGTGGTTCTAGATGTTTGGGTTACCATATTTTTTGACAGCACGTGATTGGTATAAATGAGGGATACGTTGATCTAGCCTGTCAGGAATGCACTAGTAGTACTGGTAGTAATCCTGGGAGAGTCGATACTTGACAGCCGATTGAAGCCTGCAGTTGCCGGATGTTCTGTTCGGTGATGAAAACACTCCTGATTTGCAGTCCCGGAGCACTCTAGGCTGAGATCAAATTGAAGCACAGAGCCGATATGAAACAGCGGAGGCTTTATGTTTGTTTGTTTCTCCGTAAATTTGATGAAGTATCTGACGTTCCGTCGTTTGAAAGATATAATCGTGTACATGTTTTGCCTGGTGTTGCTTTGCTTAGCGTGGCAGCTGAGCGACATTGATGGTAGTAGCAGCTGCACTTCTCAGTTCTCACTAACGGCAGCACCGAAAAAGGCACTAGCTTGAGCTTCACGGCCACGCCATCACTCCCAATGCCAAGCAGTTCTTCTTGGACATTAGCTCTGCGGACTGCCGGACTGGACCCATCTCTCAGTTCCAATTTTGCAAGTTGTTGGCCTTAACTTTCCTGGCGGGAGGATACCTGGGTCCATGTATTTCCCATCGGCCATCAATAATGTGAGATTTATGAAAAGTACTACAGCCCATTGACGGTGACGCTTAAACAAGAAAATTTCCAATCCGGCAGTTGATTCCGACGGACTTGTTGGAGCCGGGTCAACCCTAATGGGAAAGTGGAGAAATGATACGTCGGAAATGTCTCGGAAAGTGACCAAATCAGTGGCTCCCTCTCCATTTCCCACATTACATCACTGCACCCTCACGTTGTTAAGGCCAAGTCCAATGCAAAACCCTAAATTTGGGGGTCTTGAACCCCAAATTTGGAGATTGAACCTCATTTTCCCTTCTTTTGCTCCAATGCAACAAACTCCATATTTGGGGTTCTTAATATTTCCAGTTTTTCCATTTACTTAAACATGTACTTATCGTATCCTTAATATAATTTATTCATGTTAATTTTTGTATAGTTCGTCATCATTTTTTAATACAAATTTTTCGATAGAATTTTGTTAAATTTCGAGTCTGAATTTTTTTGACAAAAAATTATGTACCTAATTTGGATTTACACGCAACACTTGAAAATGATTGATATAATTAAATCTCTAACTAATCCCTTAATTAAACTCTCAATTAACCCCTAAAATCTTAAAAAGAAAAAGAAAAACCACGTGGCGGGCTTTGGTGAGCCTCTATATTTGGGGGATCCCCCATTTCCACTTCCAAATCTGGGGTTCCATATGCAGGATCCTGCATTTTTGGAGGCCCAAACCTCCCCATTGGACCTTCTCCTCTTGCATTTTTGCAGATTCCTCCATAAATGGGGTGCCCATTGGACTCAGCCTAAGCCGTGTAATCTGAGGTCATTGGTGTGGATTATTCAACAACGCTAACACACGTTGACGTCTAATTGCGAGTTCTCAGTCTAATTTGATGTGTTATCCAAACTCGCAATCCAACACACCACTAGTACAGAGACTCCAATGTGCATAATGTTGAAAATGTATTGTTAACGTTAACCACTTAACTTTTTGTAATCGGTCACTTACAAACATTCATATAAATTTTAGCATAGAATCCGTTGACATCCTCCAGGGAAATATAAATGAGGGTTATGTCATGACAAATGAGAACTTATAACGTCGAAATTGTAAATAACTTTGCATAATTATGTGATAATACAAAGATAGATCTACAAGTGGTGGGACGGCTCGGCTAGCATTTCTCTTGGAATAGGTCTCCTGGAAAAAATCAGAGAAAAAGATGTTTCCTCTAAAATTTGTTGTACTATGGTTCCTAACTACACTGTAAATTATATTTAACTATTACTATTTTTTAAATATGGATTGGTTTCTCTTCATCTTGTATTTTACCGATTTTAGATTAAAAGTACATTTATTTCATTAATCGGTCAAGGTACGAGTAACATAAATCCACTCAAGAAGATTCAAAATTAGTTAGGCATGTCGATCCAACTCGATGAAGGATGGCTCCAACATGGCATCTTCCCTGACATTCAATAAGTTTTTTTTTATGCTTAGCCGTTCATAGATTATTTCAACTTCAAAGTGAGCCTCTGAAGATGTCAACTATCAAAACAAATTAATACAAACAACCCAATAAATTTACCCACCCATTAGCCCAACCCATGAATCTAACTACACAACTATGAAACAAAATACTAATGGTGAAGTGTGAACCATTATTTATTTACTAATACTAATGCTTAACCGATACCATAAAAATGGAACAAAATTCAATCACTTAACCTCGAGCCTCTTTTTCTTTATGATGTCTATCTTCATTAACATAGTAACATATGTACACATTAAGGGAACTCATTAATCCTTTGACAAAAAAAAAAAAAAAAAATTAAAAGGAAAAGGAAATTCATTAATCAAAATCATCCTCAGAAAACATGTTTGTCGAGATTGACGAGACCAAACCAAGATTCACCTCACCCCTCCCAAACTTGGTGTTTATCGTCTGATACAATTTACACCACTGTCTCACTGTCACCATTCTCTCTCTCTCTCTCTCTCATCTCTGGTTGTCCTTTCCAATGTATTTATCCACAGACAGTCACAGGCCAACTATTCAATTCACGCTTCCTTCCTTCCTTCTTCTCCTTATAAGCTAAAAAGGAAAAAGGTTCACAGACTTCCCCTGTTTACGCAGCCTCCTTCTCCTTCCATAACTAAACCATCCCAATTCCCATGTCTCGTTTTCCCCTCCTCTTCCTAACCCTATTCCTCTCCATCCTCCTCCTCGCGGCCGCACACGGCGGCGGCCACGACGACGACGATGACGCCGACGCTTCCTCCGATTCGGTCGACCTCCGTTCCAAACCCTTGATCCTAGCCAAAGTCGGGTGCTTGATAGTGATCTTCTTCGCAACCCTAATCGCCGGCGTCTCCCCTTACTTCCTCAAATGGAACGAAGGGTTCCTCTTACTCGGAACCCAATTCGCCGGCGGTGTGTTCCTGGGTACCGCTCTGATGCACTTCTTGAGCGACGCCAATGAGACCTTTCGGGAACTGACCACCAAAGAGTACCCTTTCGCTTTCATGTTGGCCACCGCCGGGTATCTGATCACCATGCTCGCCGACTGCGTTATCTCCTATGTTTATTCCAAGGACGGAACCAGCTCCCCCGCCGCCGCCCGTGATTTGGAAGGTACGGAGAAAGAGGGTTTTTTATTTTATTTTTCCCGTATCCCCTGTTGACTGTTTGTTTGGATGCTGGGATAATTAAATTATGCCGGAAAAAAATGGTTGGGTGGGTGGGTGAATTACTGAAATTTAATTCTGGTTTCATTACCGTTGATCCGACAGGAACCGGCTCGCAAGCAAAGGGAAGCCACGCGTCGCACTTACCGGTAGGTGGATGATGATTGAGGAATCAATCATGAGTCTTTGAGTTTGCGAATCGGGCACTCAATTCAATTCCCCTGTTTTTCCTCTGCAAATCAATGTTGAGTTTTGAGAATCTTGAACTCCATTCCCCTGTTTTTCTCTGTAAATAAATTATCTATCTCTGTGAAGGGTAGTAGGAAGATTGTGGAATGTTGAAATTGGTTGAGTTTAGATGGATAAAATTTCAGTGTACAGAATCACCAAAAACGTTGCTCTGTTTTTTTCCTTTTTGGCAGGGGCAAAATGGGGCAGAAAATTCTGCCGGCGGCGACTCTGCTTCCCTGGGAACAGCGCGATCCTTCGGCGACAGCATTCTGCTGATAGTGGCGCTCTGCTTCCACTCCGTGTTCGAAGGAATCGCAATCGGAGTGGCGGAAACGCAGAGCGACGCCTGGAAAGCTCTGTGGACGATTTCCCTCCACAAGATCTTCGCCGCAGTGGCAATGGGGATTGCTCTGCTTCGTATGATTCCCGATCGGCCCTTCTTGTCCTGCCTGGCGTATGCATTCGCGTTCGCCATCTCGAGCCCGGTCGGCGTCGCGATCGGGATCGTGATCGACGCCACGACGCAAGGGGAAGTGGCCGACTGGATCTTCGCCATCTCCATGGGGCTGGCCTGCGGTGTGTTCATCTATGTGTCGATTAATCACCTGCTTTCCAAAGGGTACACCCCGCTGCGGGAAGTGGCCGTCGACAGGCCGGGTTTCAAGGTCTTGGCCGTGGCGTTTGGTGTGGCTGTGATTGCCGTCGTCATGATCTGGGATACCTGAGGGCGCCGGAGAGAATCGTAATTGTCTGTTTTCGAGAGATTTTTCATAGTTGTTGTTTGGAGGACAGTGAAGTACAAAATATATGTAGCGCAGTTTGGCATTTTCAAAGTGATTTCTTGTTGGGTTTTGGGTGAATGGGGTTGGGTTTGGATAAATACTCAATGTGACTCTGATCGGTTGCGGTTTGTAGTTTCTAACCGCAACCAAACCAAGGAGAAATCGTAAAGCGTTCAGAAACGAAAGTCCGAGCGTGACACGGACACCAATATACTCTCAAATTGTAGTTCGACAAAATTGCAAATGCTGTGCAATTTTGTTGAACAGCGCCAAGTACATATTTTGTTGAGTACGTACACACTCGGTTCAATTTCACTAAACATGCAAAAGTATAATCTTCATCTTGTATGTATATTGTATATTGATTGACAAAACCATTGCTAGAGTGAAATTCGACACAACGAGAAATTTTTTATCTTTAGAGTGACGCTTATAGCTTGTTTGGATAGGTTAGAATTTAGGAAATGCAATTTAATTTCTCAAATTTTTTATAATTCCTATGTTTAGAAGTAAAAAATAAATAGGAAATGGAATTCCAAAAGGCAAAAGGTTGGAAATTATAATTCCCATTAAAAGTGGTCGGAATTGTTGGAAGGAGATTGACCCGGTAAAAGAATGGGCGAATAACCCAACCGGCCCAATTCCAGATGGATCCAGACCGAAAAAGGCCGGGCTTCTTTACCTTTTGGCCCAAGATCTCATATCCGCTGGCCCGTGCGAACATCAATTTCGAAAACGCGCCAACCTCGTCCCGGAGAAATCAAAAGATCACCTCCACCAAATTCTCAATCCGATTCCCCAAGATCGACGATAGACGAACGACGATCTCCGTTCGGCCGTTCTCAGCACCAAAACTCCGGCGGGGGGATTTTGATTCCGGTTATCGGTTTACAGGGAGAATGAATTCGGGAGATCTGCACAAAGTATGGGAAGTCAGAGCCCTAAAGAGGAAGCCGGCGGTGGAGGAAGCCCAGAAGATGCTGGAGAAAATAGCCAAGCAGGTCCAGCCTATCATGCGCAAACACAAATGGCGGGTCAAGCTTCTCTGCGAATTCTGGTTTGTAATTCTCTTTTCTTCAGTTTTCAATTCAGTCTGTTCCTTTTGGTTCCCTTGGAAAATCCGACAATGGGGTTTCGAACTGGTCGAGTCTTCAACCGTAGCACCTCCATTTTGAGGGTCATTAGAAATTTGGGATGAGTTCAAGCTTCAAAAAGTAAAGAAGTTCTGGTTCTTACCAACTTGATTGGTTTCTGTCGCGAAAATTTTAACTTCAAGGGTTTGATGGATAGCTGAGCTAGTTGATACACCAGGATAAAGATGGGTATTGCAGGTTCTAGTTTGGGTGGCTTCTCCTTGTTCAATTTTCTTGGTTAAGGCTCCCGTTTAATTGCAGCTGAGTATGGTTGAGATAACTATTAGATATTAGTTAGTTAACAATTGTTTGGCTTTTAGTCTTATTTTCCTTTGGTTTTGTGTGGGCTTATCGAATTCCTATGTTGTTGAGCTGCAGTCCGAGCAACCCCAGACTTCTAGGCTTGAATGTAAATGGTGGCGTGAGTGTAAAGCTTAGGCTCCGCAGACCAAATAGGGATTTGGATTTCTATCCATATGATCAGGTGCTTGATACAATGCTGCATGAACTTTGTCACAACGCTCACGGTCCTCACAATGCTAACTTCTACAAGTTGTGGGATGAGCTCAGAAAGGTCCGATCTTTTCCCCTTCCCTCTTTTGTTGAACACAAATGCTTCCAAACTACAGGCCTATGGTCTTCTGTACGCATCGTGATGCTTATAGTACTGTTTTGGTTACTTTCTCTAGGAATGCGAGGAGTTAATATCAAAGGGAATTAGTGGAACTGGAGATGGGTTTGATCTTCCAGGGAGACGTTTAGGTGGGTTTTCCCGTCAGCCTCCAATGACACAACTTCGACAAACTGCTTTAGCTGCTGCTGAAAAGAGAGCAAAATTAGGAGCGATTCTACCGTCTGGGCCGAAACGTCTTGGTGGTGATAGCAATATAATGGATGCACTCACTCCAGTGCAAGCTGCAGCAATGGCTGCCGAAAGGAGATTGCAAGATGATATCTGGTGTGCTTCCCAGTTGGTTGAAGTTTCTGATGATGAAGAAGATGAGCCCTGTGATGTCCCCAAAGGCAGTTCATCATCAACTGGGCAAACTTCCCGTAGCTCCAACCTTAATAATGCTGGTAGAAAAAGAAGTCGTGAACCAAGTGACACTTCAAATTATCCATCTTCTACTGGTCGTCCAGAGTCATGTTCAAGTAACTTCTCCAAAGATGCTTTAGCATCTGAAGCTGGATCTGTTCATCCCTCAAACTATAACATGAAAGGTAACTAGAAAATGAACTCTTCTCGCAAAAATTTCTCTTATACGTCATTTTCTCAGGCCATTACTGTGGTATCTGTTGGTGCATAGTTGATCCAGGTGCAACTTCTGATACAGATGATCCTGCTATGTGGGAATGTGGAACGTGTACACTATTGAATCCAGTAAGTCTTCTGTATCGGCTGCTTTATTTTTGGACGAGTTGTGCCCTGTAACTGGAGATTGTTTTAGTAGAACCTTCCTTTTCTTGTCTGACCTCACTTTTGATCCATGATGGCAATAAGCTTGACTTTTACCAGTTATGTACCATGTGTATGACCTTTCGGCTTTAGGGATCATATAATTTAAATTCTATAGCTGCAAAGTTCATGCACAATTGCTTTCCCTTTAGACACTTTATCTTTCTGCGGAACTCTTTATGATCTAAGGTCATTGAATGACACATATTAGAAGGTTTCATGGATCTTCAAGTTTCGTGTATTTGTATGCCACTGTTGATGAATCTCATGCATGCTTTACTATCCCTTGGGAGAAGCTTTGCAGTTTTTCAAATGCAATGTATTTCCCATCGTGTCTGCGCTTATGCATCCTGCATATCTACGCATAATCATTTTTGTATTCTTCAATGCCTTCAATTAGCCTGCTCCTTCAACTATAGTTCATTTTCTGGACTGTTTTACAGCCGTTGGCCCCATTATGCGAGCTGTGTAGCACAGAAAGGCCTAGGGATGATGGTACCAAGCACAAGTCATGGTACTGCAGATTCTGCACCCTGGAGAACAGCACGAAACTGGACAAGTGCTCGGCGTGTGAACAATGGAGATACTCCTACGGTGCCCCATCTTCAACTCATGCGCCATACACAGGTACATAACAAGAGCTCTGACCTCCATGGTCCCTGGAATATCCACTCCATGGCTTCCCAGCCCAACTGTGACCATTCTAATTACTCTAAGGGGTCTCTCCGAAGATTGCGAAATCAATGATCAGGTTAGGGTGAAACTACTTTTGTGCTCACGGTTCATTATCCATCATGTTGACTAGAGAATGAATTGAGTGGTAATGATCATGTTTGCAAATAGAAAGGAACAGCCTGTGTAGTCAGTTTGAGGGTAAAGTGGTGCTTCTTTCTTCCTAAGATATCCCTTGTTTGATCCAGTTCAAGTCAGTTCATACTACAGTGACTCGTGGATGGGGCATAAAGGACAAAAAATGATCCATTTATAGTTTTTTACTCTGTCCGTGTCCATACCTATAAGTTAATAACATCACATGCTGCTGCTTGCCTGCATTATACACCACCGCCTGTAACAATTTATGGTCATTCATTTAATGAGGCAATGATCTTCTGGTTTCCAAACCCATGAAGTTTTATATAGTCCTCTACCGTTACTTTGATGATGGTCTCTGGGATGTGATCTGATTTAAGCAGCTCGGATGAATATGAACGTAAACAAGATAGTATCAGACGTATACATCACGATCAACCACGTCGGGAGTATCGAATCGTTCTTTTTTTTTTCCCCACATATCCTCAGCCCGGGAAAAATGACTGCGATTTCCAATGTGTTGCATGTGTGTGTTCTTTTCCATCCGAGTCTATACTATAGAGTAATCTGTTATTCTATATTACGGAGGCTACAAGCAACTTACTTAAGATTTTGATATTTAAGCACATGGATCACTTTGAAATCCTAAAAACACCTAGCTGGATTGTAAATGTATGATAATGAAATCATACAACGGTATATTAAATTCATACTGACTTGATCATCGACATATAATCTAAGTTTAATCGATCCAATAGACTGATACGACATCATGATAAATGGTGAAACGTATAGCTTATATAATTGTACTTTGGCTGGATAAGCATAAAAATATGGACTTTTCACTTTCGTGCTGGGCTGGGCTGGCCCACTCGGCCCACAGTGAGTTATGTTTTCTTTTAGTTGATCTTCCACTCACCGAACAGTTCAACCTTTTTGCTCCGGAATTGGCTAATTACCAGTCCCACTTTCGTCTCCCCCTACCCTCTTCTTCTTCTCCTCCTCTTTCTCCGGGAGCTTCATCACCTGCATCTTTTTGCCAAAACCCCTCTGCGAAACTCTCTCTGGGGACAATTGCCCTTTCCCTTCCTCCAGTACTCGGCTCGACGCCTTCCCTTTTCTTCCTCTTCGCGCCCCACCTCCCCTGGATATTCCTTCCCCGCCGCCGCCGGGACGCTCTTCTTTCCGGTTGAGGCGCCTCGAAATCAACCCACGTTGGTTCTGTGTACCCTTTTCTGTTGACGTGGGGACTGATTGATTGATGCCCGTTCTATTGTCTTGATGATTCCATTGGCGAACTCGGTCAAAGGCATTTCCTGGTGCCTCGTTCACCTTTTCAGCTTGGACTTCAGTTTCCTCGGCGTTGTGTCTGATCTGCTTTCGGATCTCCGAAGTCTTGATTTTTCTGAGTTCTGGTCAGTTTTATCTACCGCCCATTTCCTCTTTGGCAGAATTCTTTGAGTTGGTTCTCTCTCTCTCTCTCGCCCTTCAGCTCCCAAACTTTGGTGGTAGGTGCTAGGGTTTGATGACCGGATTTTAGATGGATTTCCATTTCTGATATCATTTATCAACTGTTGCTAGCTCTTTTGAGCTGAAAGGTTGTTGATTCTTCTGAGGGTGCCGGAGTTATTGCCGAATTTGGCCGGTTTTGTGGCTTATGTATGCGGTAGACCGTATGCACAGTTCATAACGGTTACCGACCTTGATTTTCCCTTTGGTTGGTTGAGTATTCTAAAGACGGTCTCATTTGTTCGTTTAAGTGTGTAGCCCTTTAGGCTAGGGGAGCAGGGAGGGTTACCCTTCTGTGGTATTACTTGCCAAATCAATATTTGGTGTCATTTTAGGAGATCGGGCTCATATTGTTTCCTGTCATAGACTCATAGTGAGCAATCATCAGCTATGTAAGTAGTGTTGTTAGTAGGTATCTGGCGCTTTGTGCGGTGGTAATCGTGCTGCCTGCAAAAATGAGTGCAAACGGTAGTTATTTTGTGGAATGGAAAGAACAGTTTGTTTCACAAGAGCGTGGGAACCGCGTGGTTCACTATTTCCTGAAAGATTCTGCTGGAGAATCCATACTGGCTATTGTGGGTACTGAAAGGAGTGTTAGACACATGTTCTATGTCGTTGCTGAGGAGTTTGTGCAAGCTTATGGTGCTGAAAACTCGATTCATGCTGGTTTCAAATGGAGGTCGAGAAGAGAGGTTATAGATTGGCTTACATCTATGCTGTCAAAGCAGAATGTGCAAGGCGATCATTCCAGTACGTATTTCTGATGTTGGTCTATTTTCCCCCCCATACCCTGCATCAAATTATTAGTAACACTGATTAGTTTATTGATATAAAAACATAGACTGCTATGCTTAATGCACCACCAATAGTAATTCTTTTGTCCTAGTTATTGACAGCCCTTAATCATTGTTCAGACAATCCTATGGAATATGTTTAGGTCACTGTCATTTTCATTGCTTCTTGTGGATGGTAATATCAAGGGTTGGGTGTCCAATCTACTAAATATGCACCCCTCTTAAAGAGCTGTGATTCTCTTAGCTTTTCAAACCTTTGAGCTCTCTAATGTGTAACAGAGTTGCAAAAATGTTATATAGGACAAGCTTTGGAATCACAAGAGTTTCCTGTGACTAGTTCGGGTGGACAACATACACAGGTACCATATTGAAAAGTTAACTCAGTCTCTAGCATCACTGTGCAATTTTTCTTTGATGCCTGTTTTGCCTGTCAATTGCAGGGCCGACACTTGAGGATTTTGAATGGACATCGTTCAGAAATTGTATGGTCTGGAGTTGCTTGGACTTGTGGGAAACAGCTCAAGCATTTCCCAGCATTTTGCAGGAATGGAACAACTATGGCGGTGAGTATACATTCTGAAATTACTAAGCGAAGGTTGTGGAGCGTTATCCTTGAATCTGCAGAGTGATTGAAATGATCTTTGTTATTAAGCTGAAGCAATTTTTCGGGAACTCTGAGCTTTCATGAACCACAAACTGACCCTAAGGCCCGAGCCCTTAGTGTGAGCTTCAATCCGCCCCAGTCAAAATCTGAAACTGTGTCATTCATGGTCTTGAGAAAAATATAGTCTCCTATGTTTCTGTCATTGGTAAACGAAGTATGTTTTCTTATTCGTGCATCAGACAGACCATCTGAGGTGGGGTTGTAATTTTGGGCCCATCTCCTGTTCCCTTAAGTTTCATTGCTATTAACTTGTGACTGATTAATATTTAATTGTCTCAACGCCAGGCTCAATCATTCGTATTTGTGATGGCTGAAGGAGAGAATCAATATGTTGCCTATTTGGAAGACATGTATGAAGACAAGAGGGGTCAGAAAAAAGTCAAAGTAAGATGGTTTCACCATAACCTAGAAGTCAAGGGGGTTGTTCCTCTTCGAAGCGCTCATCCGAAAGAAATCTTCATCACACCATATTCACAAGTCATCAGTGCAGAGTGTGTCGATGGTCCTGCCACTGTTTTAACTCGTGAACATTATGAGGAATGCGTTGCTTCCATTCCTAGTTCATTTTCAGCCAGGATCCATTTATGTTTCCGACAGTTTAGGAACAATAAAGTAAAACCTTTTGATTTGAGTAAGCTTCGTGGCTACTTTGATCAACCTATTCTCTCTTGCTTGAGTTCAAAGCATTTTCTTGAGGCAGACGATACTGGAGATGGCACACGTGATGAAGAGGATGAAGAGTTGAGTGCAGGGGAAAATGTAAAACTAGGATTGAAGAGGGCCAGGAGCATTGAAGGGCGTCAAAATTTCGAGAAGGATGGCAGCCAGGTGGCCGGTTTTCGAGCATTTTACTCTGGTTTAAAACCTGGGGTTTCTGGCAAGCGACTGCTTCCTCTGAATAATGTTGAGCTTAATCCTTGGAGTGCTGCACTATTCAATGTTAATGAGAAGATTGAATATTTATGCCAAGATAGTGGGATAAGGGGATGTTGGTTTAGGTGTACAGTCCTTCAGGTTTCCAGAAGACAAATAAAAGTCCGATATGATGACTTGCGGGATGAGGATGAGCGTGGAAACCTTGAGGTATGTTTAAGTTTATGGTGCAATTTCTCTGTACTAGCTTTACCTGTAAATAAAAAGAGCAGTAATGCAAAAAAATCCTTGTGACTTGTCACTGAAAGTGAACATAGATCGGGTTACTTGGCATAGGCTTGGCCCTGAGATTGATGCAAGTGTCACACCACACTCGGAACTTAGTTGGTTTTTATATGTGCTATGCATATTGTTTTCCTTATTCTGTTTACTTCTTGATATTTAGAGTCATGCTTACTGTTCACCCCAAAGAAAATAAAGGTAGGAGAAAACAAAAGCCTCAACCACTGCATACTTCAAAATTTGAAAATATCCACTACTTTCTAATCCTGCATGCCTTTATTGTGAAATATATGAACAGTTTGTCTGACCGTTTATATCCGAGCTCCCCTTTTTCTGGTGGAAGTTCAACTTATTAGCAAACTTGTTTTCAGGAATGGATCCCAGCTTTCAGATTGGCGGTGGCTGATAAACTTGGCTTGAGACGTTTAGGCCGCCTAACTATTCGGCCAGTGCCTTCAAATAAAGAAACAGACCTGAGCCTTGAGGTTGGGTCTGCGGTTGATGCTTGGTGGAGTGATGGCTGGTGGGAGGGTATTGTGACCAGCATCAACAATAACAGCAACGCTGTTCAAGTTTACTTTCCTGGTATGATTATTGTAATTGGATGATCTGAGGTTATAGCATGTGCTCCTCTGCTATTCCTTTACCAAGTTGCTTTCCTTTATCCAGGTGAAAAGTTCGTTTTGAACCTGCAAAGAAAGGATATTAGAACCTCCCAAGACTGGGTGGATGATCATTGGATTGACATTCAGCCAAAACCAGACATACTCTCAGCAATATCTGCAACTATAAAATCGCCCATTTCTTCATCTACTGCAATGGGCAACAGATGCAGCATCGCACCTGCACCCTGTCCTGAAATTGATCAAACTGATGCTATTGAATGTGGAAAAACTGTTGAAACTACATTAACTAGCGCTGATTGTGGTTCGGAAGATATGGACTCTGACAATCCTAGTCAGCCTATATCAACTGATGAACCTATAGATGGTGGTGATGTTAGACAGCCTATCGCAAGTGACAAAAGCTGTGCAGATGGTTGTAGTGACATCAATGCCAATAATCATAATAAAGAGGACGATGACAATCCGTCCAATGAGGGCATTCTTCCAGTTGATGGAGTTGCTGACATGGAAGTTATTAATGAGGGTGTAGAACAGCAAGTTGGTGCTGATGATAACAACGGTGAGGAATTGGAGATGAAGCCGTTTCCTTCTTCTGGCAACAATTGTAAATCTATAGAACTCATGGAGGTCTCAGCTTAAACTTTGATGTTTCTTCTGCTGCATTGGATTGTTGTGGAGCTCCTGGCTTGGATATAATTTGTAGAAGGGCTCTGTGTAAATAGTGACTACTGATATGGGAAAACTGACATTACCCGTCAGATTATCCCGTCCAGCATCCAATAGAGATCATAGATCTACAGATTGGTGTAGTGTTAGATATATCCTAGATTCTTGTTGTAGGTTTTGAGTGTATAAAGATGGGGGATTCAAGCTCTTCCTAATTGATGAGTCAGTATTCTAAGTCTTGTCATTGACACAGTTAAGTTGTGTTTAATGTGTATCATACATGTGTTCTGTCTCTCATTTAATATCAATGGTGAACTTAAAGTATCCTCCTATTTCCTTGCAACTATACAAAAGAGTGCTATGTGTACTTTTCTTTCTATCATGCAACAGAATCCCCTTGAATGGGGGAAAGAAGAGAAGGAATGAAAGAATAAACAGAGGAAAGAAAGTAATAGGGAGAGCTATAGTCTCAGCCATTGGTGTCCATCTATGAATCTCAAGTCCAAGAAGGGTTTGACTTCCTGAAGAGTAAAGTGGGTCTTTGCCCAAGCTACTCTCCTCCTTGTATCTGCTCCTCTTCCCTTGCATCTGTACTCCCCAAAAACTGCAGTTCTGCAGAACACCCAGCACAGCGAAATTCGTCTGTTAGCAAAGGAAATAGATAGCTGTTCTTGTGGGAGGGTTAACACTTACCGTTGCCTGTCAGGTTTGTCCCAGTCGCTCCATCCTGGAGGTGTAATCACGTCATCAATATGGCAGTAGGAATAGATGACCCTTGAACAGTTTCCCCATGCCCTTCCCAGCAGAATCTTCCCTGTTCCTCTAATCAAGCAACCCACGAACGAGAAACCGGTGTCCTCCTCCGCTGAATCCCTGTGGTGCGCTGCGATTGCTCCGTAGTTCTCTGCTGTAGACTCCACCACACAGTCCTGGAACAGCGTCCTGCCGCGGCCAAAGATGAAATCGATGCTGCCCAGAATGTGAGACTGGTAGTAGTAGTGCGATCCGGTTTCGTCCAGCAGCGTGTCCTGCGAACCTTTGATCTTCACCCTGTAGAAGAAAGCTTTGTCCCCTGCAACCCTCAGCGCCACTGCTTGCATTCCATACCCTCCTGGAACTGCCACTACCGAATTCTGCATATGGAAATGAAGCCATTTTTTATGAATGTTCTTCGGTTATGAAATCCTGACAGAATTACCAATAAATACCTCGAAAGTGATCCCAGTGGCGCAGAAGAAATCGGAGAGAACGGTAACCGACGCAGACTTGAAGGTTCCAAGCTCAATTCCTCTGGAGTCCAAATCAGAAGCTTTGTTGTGCCATGTTATCACTGTTTTGGACACGTCGCTTTCGTTCCCAATCAGCGAGACGTACGGCTTGGTAACTGGCACAACAACCTTCTCCCTGGCACACAAAAAAGGAAAAAAAGTGAGCCACTAATCCCTATTTTGATGCTAAAACCAGGACAAGTTTGGGTTAAAAAAACCCGTCTTTCTTTGATAGAGAATGCCCAACCATGTGATTCATTCACCATTGTCTTTAGTAACCACCACAGAGTCCCAAAGGTAACCACTTTCTTAGCTTCACTCTGTCTAGTATTCCATAATTCTATTCTATTTCACGACCCCCCACTAACCCATGAAAATAGCTGGTGAGAGAAACACCTCGAAAAGAAAAGAAAAAGAAACCAACTTTTCTTTTCTCCCACTCTGTTTTTGCTTTGAACTGAAAACAGAGCATATCCATGGCAAGAGCTATTAGCAAGGTCATTGAAACTTCCTCCTTAATCAAAGACCAAAATGTTAAGCTTCATTTATCCTTCTGCTTCTTCAACTACAAGTTCAACTTCAGGTATATTGCTTTCCTGCGTAAAATCACGACTCTTTCTGCTAGAAAAGTTTCAGCCCGAGGGGACAGGGGGCAAAAAACAGAGTCTTTTTACATAACTAGTTGATTCCTGACCTGTAAGTTCCAGGGAGGATGTGGATTTTAACCCTCTGAGTGTTGAATTCATGGACCAAATCCACGGCGCCTTGAACGGTAACGGAATCCCCGCCGCCGTTCTGGTCAACGACGATCACTCTGCTTCCCTTGTAATATGCCTCGCCGTAACTCGGCCTCGCCTCCCCCTGCTGCTGCTCATCCCCATAGCCATTATCGTAGCTATAGCCATCCAACCTCGCGTCATCCCAACTTATGAACTTCCTCACAAACGTCTGCATCTCCTCCGCCGGCGGCGGCGCTTGTGCAGCACCACATGACCCAAAAAACAGCAGCACCGCCGCGGCAACCACAGCAACTCCAAGAACAGAGCACTTCCTCTGCTTCGTCATTACAATGTACCGATGACAGCTAAACTTGGTTTCGATCCAGAGAAGGGCAAATTACAACGACTTCTGAACTGGGGTTTGGCCGGCCGATCGTCAGGTGAATGTAATTAATAAAGGGAGGAGGGGGAGCGTGCGTGGTGTTTTGAGGTGAAGTAATGGCTATGGAAGGACAGAAAAGAAACAAAAACGGGAGGGAAATAGAAGAAAAAGAAAGGGAGTAAAACAGAACAAGTAGCAGAGGCAAAGAGTATGGTGTATTAAGGGAGGATGGATTAGAGTAATCAAGACAAGGAGGGAATTCTGAAGAGCATGGCTGCCTGGCCGAGGGAAGTTACAGAGGCGTTGTTTTTCTTTTTTATTTGATTAGATGATTAACCTTTGAGCTCCGATAATTAATTGCGGGTTTAACTGTTAAGCTGCCTTTCTCACTCCAAGTACTAGGGTCTCGTACTCTCGTTTCTTAACAAGATGTATGATTCATTTCGTTTATAATTCTCATTTATACGGCAAAGTATGTATAATGTAGGTTTGTGTTCGTGTTTGTACTGTATCGGTAGTTCGATTGAAAACTATGCTATAGGACTCCAAACCACTAACTTTTAGCTATATGAAAGGATTAAACCACAATTTAATCACAAACGATCTATCACTAACTATTTCGGTATTGGCTTCAATACGATTTTTACAATCTTACTTAACTAATTAGAAGATGAAGAGATTATGGTCTCCTCATGATCATTGAGTGATTCGTTTTTCTTGTTAAATTACTCTTGTAATAATCGAATATTATGCGCTTGATCACGGATCCCTAGTGATTATAGAATGCCTGATCACTTCTGTAGTAGTAGTATTAAGTATTAACAGTTACCAAAAGGGAAACAGTAAGTTCGTGGGATACGTTTTATTTCACATAATCACGTTGCAATTGATTATGTATTAAACATAGAGACAGCGGTAACTTGCAACTCAAGTTCCTTGTCATAATTTTTTGAACAATCACACTTACAAACAAAAACAAAACAAAAAACCATTTGGAAAGTTTACTGAAAGGTTTGTAGGAAAAATACTTGAACAAACCTTTCATTCACCTTAGGCAAAAGCGATTTTTTTTTCTTTAAATATATCTAATATATTTGAGACATTATTACTTTGTAGAAAAACGTAAAAGATTTTCAAAATATCAAACACAACTCAACATGTTAATAACACGTGTGTCAAATAACTAATTTCCTAACTTCTAAGATAACGTTATGACAAAGTGAAATGAAGGGGAAAATATAGGGGCTGGGATCAGGTGACTAAGGGGGGTCCCCTTAGTCACATGACTAAGTGAATCTTAGCCATACAAGCTCATTAAAATCCAAGGGCTCCTATTAATCCAATTTAATAAAGGGCAATGTAGTAATTGCATGTTTATATTTACTTTTAATTATTAAATAATTTTAAAAACTCTCACCCAGATCCGGACTCCACCCATTCTCACCCCTCCGTTTCCGGCGACGTTCTCCACCGGCCCCAACCCGCGCCGCCGTTTCTTTTTCTGGCGGTGGGATTTTTTGTCCCCAAATAGCTATTTTGTGGCCTTAACAGCCACGGCCAGAGAGAGAGAGGAGGGATTTTGTGTCCCCAGCAATGGCTTCCAACAGCTACGGAGAGAGAGAGAGAGAGAGAGAGAGAGAGAGAGAGAGAGAGAGAGAGAGAGAGAGAGAGAGAGAGAGAGAGAGAGAGAGAGAGAGAGAGTCAACTTTTCCGGCGACCAGAGACGGTGGTGGATGATTTTCCGGCAACAGTATTGAGTTCGTGATGTTTGTAATGTTTATATTACTATTTTGTATACATTGTAATGTTTGTTTGTCATGTTTGTTATTTTGTAATGTTTGTATACTTTTATGTTATGATTTGTATACTTTGTATTCATTTGTTCGTTTGTAATGTTTGTAATGTTTGTTTGCAATGTTTGTAATGTTTGTATACTTTTATGTTATGATTTGTATACTTTGTATTCATTTGTTTGTAATACAAGTTTACCAATCTGTATTGTTAGTAGTGATATTATGTACGTGTAGTATGCTTTGTACTGTTTGTAATGTTTGTTTGTAATGTTTGTAATGTTTGTTTGCAATGTTTGTAATGTTTGTTATTTTGTAATGTTTGTAATGTTTGTTGGTTTCTTTTGTATTGTTTGTAATGTTTGTTATTTTTGTCCACATGTTTGTCATTTTTGTCAACCATGTTTGTAATGTTTTTTGCATCACAAATCAATACATATAAAGTATACAAATTATTAGTACTTACAATACAAAGCGAAACATACTAAGAATACAAGAAAAACATACTAAGAGTACAAACTGTCAAAGAAAAACATACTAAGAGTACAAACTGTCAAAGAAAAACATACTAAGAGTACAAACTGTCAAAGAAAAACATACAAACCATACTGACATTTTGTACAAAAATACTAACAATACAAACTAATGTTACAAAACATACAAACTATACAAATCACTGTTCTTCCTTCAGACGATGTCTCTCCACCGCCGCCTCCGCCGCCGCCGCCACCGTCGTAGTCGTCTTGCCCTCTCTCCATCGTCGCCGGAGTCGTCGTTGAGATCTCCTCGCCGTCGCCCCCCTCTCTTCCACCGTCGCTGTCCTTCTCTCCCCGCTGCTGCTGCTTCTCTCTCTCTCTCTCTCTCTCTCTCTCTCTCTCTCTCTGGGAATATTCCAGGGGAATAATGGCGGAGGGGAGAAGAATTCCCTGCCCAGGAAATTGGACGGCTCTCTCTCTGGGAATTCCAGGGAATAATGGCGGAGGGGAGAAGAATTCTCTGCCCAGGGAATTGGACGGAGACGAAGCGGCGCAAAGGACGGGGCCGACGCGGACGGCGGGCCTATTTTTTTCCCTTCCCAGAATAAAAAGGAAAACCAATTAATGAATTTTTTTTATTCCAGAATTGCCCCTCCAAGTATTTAAAAATCCCTTCCCTAATTTTCACCATTAGATTGATCCTTCTACATCCAATGGCCAGGAGGGGCTTAGCCAAGTGACTAAGGACCCCCCCCTTAGTCACCAGATCCGGACTCGAAAATATAGTTCTGAAATTTTTTAGGTAAATATAATACATTAGCTACAACTATTAAACATCAACTTTTTCTAGTCATAATTATCGAAATACAAAAAAGTAGTCAAACGTTAAGTTTTTGTTAACACTTCTGTTAGATGATGGTGAGTTGACAGATATTACGCTGACGTAGAAGAGATATTCTGACGTGACAATCAACTTTTGTAATTTATTTATTAATTAATTGTTAAAACAAAATTAACACAACCTCTCCCATCCCGGGCTAAGATCAGGTGACTAAGGGGGTCCCATAGTCACATGACTAAGTCAATCTCAGCCATTGAGATTCAATAAAATATGATGGTTCAAATTAATCTAGTTTAATGAGGGATTAGTTGATAATTATATAGTTTATTTATTTAAAAATTGAAATAAAAAAATAATCAACCGCCCGAGAGAGAGAGAGAGAGAGAGAGAGAGAGAGAGAGAGAGATTTCTTTTCAACTTTTTCGGCGACAGTAGAGTTTTCCGACGATCAGAGACAATGGATGATTTTCTGGCAACAGTGCTGGATTTGTGATGTTTGTCAACCTATATTGTAATGTTTATAAGTTCAGTTTGTATTGTTTATATCAATTCGCTTTGTATTGTTTATTATTCTTGTTTGTCATTTTTATCTATTATGTTTGTAATCTTTATATGACTATTTTTTATATATTGTAATTTGTAATGTTTGTCGGTTCTTTTTGTAATGTTTGTAAGCTTTGTTATTTTGTAATGTTTGTCGGTTACTTTTGTAATGTTTGTAAACTTTGTTATTTTTGTGCACCATGTTTGTAATATTTTTTTATGTCTAAAAAATAACCTGGTTGACTTTTGGATGAAACTCCTCTATATAGAGATGAAGCCTCCAAAGTCAACCCGGTTGTTTTTCCAGTTTGTATGTTTTGTCAATCTAGTTTGTCATTTTTATCCACCATGTTTGTAATGTTCGTATGTCTAAAAAACAACCAGGTTGACTTTGGAAGAGAGCCCCTCTATATAGGAATGGAGCCTCCAAAGTCAACCCGGTTGTTTTTTCTTTTTGTATTGTTTGTCGGTGTAGTTTGTACAGTTCATATGTTTGTAATGTTTGTAAATATGTTTGTATGTTTTGTCGTTATAATTTTTACTGTTTGTATTGTTTGCAAGTCTAGTTTATATACTTCGTAATTTTTCATAATACCCAAATTACCCCTCCCATGAATTAAAAATCTCTTCCCACTTTTTAACCGTTAGATTGAAGTGTCTGGATCTAATAGCTAGGAGGGGCTTAGACAAATGACTAAGGACCCCATGACTAAGGGGATCCGCTCTCCTCCCATCCCTATCGTTCCTGTTCCTGTTCCTCTTCCTCTGCTCCATCCAACAAACAAAAACCCCTCCTATCCCTATACCTTCCCCTCCCCACCTCCGGCAAGACTATTTTCCTCAAGTATCTATCGAAGACAAGAAGAGATCAAGTACCGTTGAGAAGGAAACCCACAAAAATCAAAGTGTCAATCGAAGACAATAAGAGATAGAAGACGCCCGCAGTCGTGCCGCCGCCCTCACCATCCTTCTGCCACCAACGCTCTCAGGAGAGGAGAGGAGGTTTCGTCGGCACCTACTAGTACAAGGAGACCCTCCTCGCCTTTCTACATCTACTGGGCATTTGTAAATCCCAGAACCCCAAAATGCCCCACACCCAAAACCCAAAAATTCAGCCAAAACCACCTTTTTATCTTCTCATATATAAATCCCCTGATCTGCATATCCGAACACATAGAAATTAAATAAAAATCACAAACAACAAAAATCGGCGGCGATTCATTTTCTTTGGTCGCCGTAGGCTACTGCTCCTCTGTAATCCCTCGCCACGGTTTTTCTGTTCTTTCCTCCGTGGTCAAATCCTTAGAACCAAAA